CCCAGGAATGTTTGCTTCTCCCCAGTTTTTAAAAACACTTTTCCCTTTAACAGGCTGGCTGGATCAACTGATCGGGGTTCCGTCCCAGGAATGTTTGCTTCTCCCCAGTTTTTAAAAACACTTTTCCCTTTAACAGGCTGGCTGGATCAACTGATCGGGGTTCCGTCCCAGGAATGTTTGCTTCTCCCCAGTTTTTAAAAACACTTTTCCCTTTAACAGGCTGGCTGGATCAACTGATCGGGGTTCCGTCCCAGGAACGTTTGATTCTGCCCACTCTGGTTGTTTTTTCAAACCTTTCTCCTTTAAGAAGCCTCCCATCTGATCTGCTGGAAAAGGAGGGAAGCGAAACTAACTTTCAAAGGGAAGCGAAACTAATTCTCTCTCTCTCTCTCTCTCTCTCTCTCGGCGGAGGAGGCGGCGATGGCGGCCGGGGCGCCCGTGCTGGACCTGCTGGAAGAAGCCACCTGCCCCCTTTGCCTGGAGTATTTCCCGGACCCCGTGCTCATCCCCGAGTGCGGCCACAACTTCTGCCGCAGCTGCTTGACCCGCAGCTGGGGGGAATCGCCGTCGGAGGCTTCCTGCCCCCAGTGCAGACGGACCTTTTGTCCCAGGAACATCCTCGCGAACAGGCAGCTGGCGCGTGTGGTGGAGATCGCCCAGCGCTGCGACCCTCGGGGCGAGGAAGGAGGGAGCTTCTGCAGGATGCACCGGGAGCCCCTCAAACTCTTCTGTCAGGACCACGAGACCCTCATCTGCGTGGTCTGCGACCGAGCCCGAGAGCACAGGGACCACCGGGTGACTCCTCTGGAGGAGGTGGCTCTCCAGGAGTATCGGGTAAGAATCAGCCTTGAGGGCAAGGAGGAATCACTGTGGAGACCTAAAGCTGCGAGAACAAGTTGTCAACTCTTAGTGACCACTGAGATAGATTTTCTGATGACAATCTGTCCCTAACCTTGTCTTTCAGGTGCCCCCATTGTCAGTATCCCTGAGTCCATCTCCCTTGCTGCTGGTCCTCCTCTTCTTCTCTTTCCTTCCTCCTCTCCCAGCATCAGAGCCTTCTCCAGAGAGCAAGGTCCAAATGCCCATTCCTAAAAGTGTGGTGATTCTTTCAGATGGGGGTGGGAGTCAAGAGTGTACAAACCAGTATTTCTAGCTTATTTTATTTTATTATTCACTTATAAGTTCTGACATATCCAGAGAAGTCTGCTCATTTTAGGACATCAGTATCAAAGGGCATTTCTGAATTAGGTCTTGATCATGTAGTCAATCCATCTTAGGTATGAAATGTAATAAGAGTCACTGAACACGATGCTTTGTTCAGGACCCTCTCATTTTTATCCACCACTATTTCCAAGATCTTTGCTTTGCTCCCAACACATTTTGGTGGGGGAAGCAAAGTATGACCTTGGTCAACAATGAGGTCAATGACATAGTCAAGGGCTGCGATGTGCCTACCTCCTGTTGGCCACTTATCTTCTTGGGGGCAGCCCCCTTCCCTCCCAGTACTTGGGCAGGCCCCCCACTGCCATTTGGGCTTTGTCTGCAGACCCCTGGCTTCTGCAGGGGCATCGGTCTGAGCAACGCCTGACTGGAAGGCCCCAGTTGGGCACAACGTGGGCTCCAAATGGCCCAGGATCTTCGGAAGGAGCAACCAACCCATTTTTGAAGCACAGGTTGAGCGCTCTTTTGAAAGAGATCTAGACCTCTATTGTAAAAGTAAGACTAGCACGAAGAGAGCTCTAATTCTGCACTGCCGAGGAGGTCCATTGAACTGGGGAGAGAGAGAGCCAGGTTTGCCAGCTTGGAGTTGCTGATTCAGTCACCAATGATTCTCTTGATGCTTTTTCCATGAGGGATTTCATGTTTCATGCCAGGTTTTATTAATTTGGGGAGTGCCATTGACTCCACCCCCTGGAGTAAATCTATCTATATGGTTGCTGAGAGGTGACATTGACTTGATGTCACATCATCAATCCATTTTTTCCTACTCTGTGGGCTACTTCTGAGTGGTGCCATGCACAGCTGTGGGAATTGGAAAGCCATGAGGACAAGGAGGATTATTTTCATCATTATTATTAATAATAATTAAACTCGTATGCTGTATGACTCTCAGTGACTTTTGGGCGACTTACAACCATCAACCAAAGAAATTAAAATAAAATCAATAAAACATTAAAGATGAAAGACAGCAAGTGTGAAGAAGTGAGGGGTCTCACTCTCCATGGCCACAGGTCTGAGTGAATGAAATTTCACTTCTAGACAGATTTAGATTAGATCCTCCTTATCAACATTAGGGAAGGTGAGCTGGCAAAAGGCACCTGTTTCTCCATAATCTCTTTATAGCACGGTGGGACCTCTTGGTTACTTCCCCTCAGGACTGTCAACCTTCCCCTTTCCTCTTAGCACAGTCTTGAGAGGTAGGCAGGGCTAAGATGGAGTCATTGCCCAAAGCCACCCAATGAGAAGGGAAAGAATGGCAGGAAAGGGAGCTGCCTCCATCTCCTGGTTGCGGCACCTGAGAAGCATCAGGTGGGCCTCTGAGAAACAAAACGTTGAGCCAAGATGACCTTGGCCTACCCGAGCAGGACTTTTCTTTGGGGTCTGCACTCAGGGCTGTTGAGGGCTCCATGATGATCTTGATCGAGGAGAACAGCAAAGGTGTTCTTGGAAAGAAAATCCAGCAGTGTTTCCTTCTCCACCTAGCTTCCCAACTCATCTTCTCACTGAGATTGAGATTAGATCCTCCTTATCAAAATTAGGGAGAGTGAGCTGGCAAAAGACAGATGTTTCTCTATAATGGGTTTATAGCACAGTGGGACCTCTTGGTTACTTCCCCTCGGGATAATCGACCTTCCCCTTTCCTCTTGAAAAGGAAACACTCCGCAGGGGTGTTGGAGAAACTTAAGGCCTTTCTCCTAGGTTCCTTCACCTCTCCGGCCCAAGCCATAATTTTGCAACACTCTCTAGCAACACTGTCATTTTGCACTTGTGAAAATGACTTCCTTGATTTAGTTATGAAAGTGTTTAACTTTTCAAACATTCAAGACTTGAGCTTTTGATTGTGCCATTTAAAAAGGAGCCTCCCCCCTTGCTTTTGGGATCTTAGAAATAAAACATTTACCCCTGTCTCCTCTCCCAAATGTTCCTAAGTGTGAAATTGAAGGGCCTGAGAAACAATTTGGATACAAATTTCATGGGAATGTATTTGTTTTCCTTCCCTATTTTCCATGATGTATGGAAATTAATAGGATGGGATTTATTAAACTTATTTGTTTGTTAAAAAAGATTGCAATTGTGAAGTCTTTTTTGGGGGGGGGATA